AGAATCAACAAATAAGACAGAAACAAAAAGAAAACAAGCACCGAACTCTCCAAACCATAAATAAATTAAAAGAAAAAAATGCAAGAAATGAAATTGAAAATGAGAACAATAATTAAAGATATAAAATCACACACCGAAAAAAAAAATAGGCACACAACGTCGTGCACACGACGTGCATCACTCGTAACAGAAAATGTAATGTACATGAAAAGTCGTGAACGATGCGAAGTACCTGACAGGCTGACACTAAAATCACACATGAAAAATGTAATATGATACAATGTATCCAACTTCTAAGGCACTAACACCACATGTCGAAAAAAATACAGGAAACAGTAGTCTACAAGTCTTGTCGTAGCTGCCGAGATACTGTACTCAGTCTGCTGCAACCAACGACACTCTACGAACACCTTAATGGCACCAAAATCATACTCTACGAACACCCTACTGCTACCAAAATCATACACACCAACAAGTAAAGCACGCACACTACCATTGAGTGTCTGACAATACTGAGACAAGACAAGACGACTCACATGACCAAAAAAACTAGGACCGCACAACATGACGACGTACAGTGCGAGTAGGGGAGAAGCGGAGTGTTGGCCTCATCGGTCAACGACCCTTCTTCCCCTTCCCGCTCTGTCTCCTCGTACCCCCTCGAGTGTCGGATGTCGACCTCTTCCTCCCTCGTGAGGATGAAGAAGTCCGCGTGTAGATGCACGCGTCGGTGGGGGTCCTGGGGGAGGTGGGGGCTCATCGTAGTCGTCGTCGTCGTCACCATCGGAACCGCTCTTGCTCTCCTCCTCTCCCTCCTCCTCGCCCTCATAGTCCTCGTCCGCCTCCCGCACAGCCGCATCCGTATCAGGATCATAATCCTCGATGGTGACTGGGGTTCCTCCCTTCCTCAACACAACAACCCTCGCACTAGCCTCTGCAACGGTCTGCTCACGGCGGGATCCACGAGGCATCCCCAACCCCTCCGCCCCCGAACTCTCTCCAAGTGTAGCGCCTCCCTCTGCAGGCACGGGGCATGGACGAGGAGGCACTCCATGCTTGCGTGGAGTCTGCTCTTGCACGGCATGCGTCGCTGCTCTCAGAGCGTACTCCAAGCTCTCGGTGGACACTCCTCTGCCGCGACCTTGCTGAGGCTCACAACCTGATGCCGGTACCTCCCTCGCCGCGGTCGTCCTGGCGCCGTGGGGTCCCAATCCCGGCTGAAGGCGTGCAGTGTGCTCCGTGACACGGCGGGTGGAATCCAAATCTATGTCTGTCCTCCCGAATAACATCGTGTCACACACGTCCTGCTGAACTGTTGTCGTGTCACGAATCCTACATCTCCCAGGCGTGTGTGGGGATCGAGAGCCTCTGCCTGTGGGCGACGATGATGGATCACCTACAGGTGCTCTAGGAGGAGGGGGTGGCATGTCTCTTGTGCGTGGCGCTGTCTTCATCACTCCACCAGAAACCCCTGGAACATTTTCCACGGCACGTCCCCCTGTGGAAGTAGACCCAGACCACACGGGCGACGCACGACCCCATGGAACCGAAGGGATCGCCTGCCATGCTGGATGCTCGAGCCTCTGGTCGAAGATCCGCCGGTCCAATCGAGTAACATCGTGTACAGCCTCTCTCGCCAACTTCTCTGCATCCAAAAGACGACGGACCTCCTGCGGAGCAAAGTGGCGAGGAAGACGTGGGGGCACAACCACCGGCTCGGACCCCAAATCGGTGATAACGGGCGGTGGCACACCATGCACTGCCATCTGAAACGCCTGCGACTGTTGGCCCTAAGCCAAGTGCAGGCTCGAGAACGGAAGGACTGGACCCGTCGCTGTCTCCTGGACCACGCGCCATGCGTCTATAGCCCCCTCGACTCGCCGTTGTCCTGCCTGCACAGCCTCATCCACCGCCTGTGGCGGTCCCTCCACAGCAACGTCCGCTGCCTCTGCTCCACCCGGCATAGCCTCATCGACCGCCTCTGCTGTCACTCCCTCCGCAACGTCCTTCCCCGCCACCACCCCACGCTGCACACAATCCCCCCCTGTCTTTCGAAGCCTGGCCTCCTCTAAGGCCCGTGCGAACGCCTGAGCACGCGGGTTACTCGATGCCAAAAGTCGAGCCCTCTCTCGCTCCATAATGTCGCATGCTGCATCTGGAGACTCAGTCGTCGTCCTCTCTCTCGCGGTCTGCGTCAAAGTCTGTCATGCCGCCTCGTCCCTCGATGGAGCCTGGTCCGTCGATGTCGCCCCGCCGCAACTAGGTGGAAGTTCCATTGACAAATCAAAGTCTAAGTGGGTCCCCATCACCGAATCCGAAATCCCAAACCCCCTCGCCACACCCGGGGTCATACCCGCTATGACCGGATCGAGCTCCTCCGTGAGGAACTGCTGCATGAGGCGCTCGTCATCGCCCCCACGCTGTGCGGCTATCTCCTCCTCCACTGGTCCTGGCACCCCCCCCTCCACTGCAGCTGCCGATGGTGCCTCCTCCTCCTCCACTGCTGCTGCCCCCTCCACCTCCACTGATGCTGCTCCTCCACCTGCTCCTTCTGTTGCTGCCACCTGCCCCTCCACTGTTGCAGCTCCTCCTGCCGCTGGTGCCTCCTCCTCCAACAGTGATGCTGCCATCTCCTTCAACATTGTTGTTGCTGCTGCTGCTACTATCTCGTCCACCGTGGCTGCGATCGTCGCATCCGGCACCGCCGCTGGTGCAACCTGCCCCTCCACTGCTGCTGCCGACGGTGCCCCCTCCTCCTGCAATATCCCCGGGGAAGGTGATCGTAACCTCAGCTGGCGGACTGCCCCGCCTCTGTGAAGAAGTCCGCGCTAAGGCAAAGAGGACCCCAACTCCTCCCTGTCCGTCGTTGTCGTGGCCGGCTGAAGTGGCGAGATGGGCGATGGTGGTGCAGGACTCGGAGCAGGAGGTGGCGGCATGGACGACTCCCGCCTTGTCGGAGTGGGGGTCGTCGCCTGCGCCACCCGTGGAAGCGACCTCCCTGAATGGGCCCCAAAACTCCTCCTCTCCCCCCAACATCTCCCTCTCCGCCCGGTCCGCCGCCCGTCGTGCAGTGTGTGCCCTCGTCTCCTCGGAGTCGGGATCCTCGTGCGTCTCGTCGATCTCCGGGGGAATGCGGAGCGCAGGGTCATTTGCCGCCTCGGGTACCGGCTCCTCGTCCAAGTCGTCCTCCCTGGGGTAGGGACGAAAAATGAAAGCACGTCTACTGAAAACGGCATCAGAAGAGGGTTGTGCGGAGGCCCCGATGGGGTCCCGGGTAATAAGTGCAACCTAACGGGCAATCTCCTCCTCCGTCATCCCCCTGCGAGTCCCCGAGCGCACAGGCTCCACCTCGAGTCCTGCCTCACAATCCAGCATGCCCTCGTCCCTCTGCCATGGCAGCACATAACCGCATCCAGCCCGCCGATACTCCGTCAACCACACATTTGCGGTGATCTCAACGAGTTGAACGACCTTCTCGAAGGCCAACTGGTTGCGCTTTTTCGTGTGAATGCCCTCGTGGACTGCCCAGTTCCTCTCCGCTGGAGAGGCGCAAGACCACATGTGCATCACCCGAAAAGCGCACCGCTGCAACTCTGGCGCGCCCGACTCGAACAAAGACCACCAAGACGCGCACTCAATTGTCTCGCCGTCGCCGCTGCACGCGCGCCGACGAGCACGCCCCTCCGCCCCGCCCCAATCCCCGAACCTGCCTTGCTGAATGTGGAAGTCCTCAATCTGCCGACATGCAAGAATGTAGTCCGCACCCTCCAACTCGAAACCCGTCTGCGTCAGAATGTACCTCTTGGCTTGCCCCACAAGCCAAGCATGGTACCGATCAACCTGGTCCGAAAAGTAGCGAACGTGTCGCCTGAGGGGGTTCAGTAAGAACCCTACGCAGTGAGCCGGCTCAAGCATGTGCTGTGTGCGAGCCTGCACACGCCTGATGATCCAGTCGGTGAACGACTTCCCCAAAGGGGCGCATGCGTCCGTGACACGGCGGACAAGATCCTGCGTCCACTCGATCATGAGGGACATGTACTGTCCTCCACGATCCATCCGCCTAAGCAACTCCATGACGGGCTGCATGATATGGACGATGGTGGCCACCCTCTGCCACCATGGATCCCATCTAATCTGTCGGGGCACCCAACGCGCCATGACGCACACATCGGCGGACCACGGGATGGAAGCAAAAACCCGCGCGTCATCCCCTCGCATCATGTCCTGCAGAGTGTCTTGCAGGGCCAACAGCCTTTCTAACATGGAGTAAACAGATGCGAACCGCGTCTCGCAAGAAAGAATAAGCCCCTTGTTGGGGCTGCGCGTCCTAAAAAAATGAAGGGCGGCCTGGTGGGTTTTGAAAAACACCACCAGCACACGAGCGCGTGTGATCGCGTCCACAAACGCGTCGCAACTCGTCCCCATGTCTGACAACAATTTGTTGCAGACATGCTGTGAAACCGTGCGTTCATTGAATGTGGGTTTTCCGCTCAGAAATTGAACGGAATGCACGCGCGTTGAATGAACGGGACACAACGCGGAGTTCAATTCCGCGCAGGGAAAAAAAAAAAAAAAAAAAAAACACCTCAAAAAATTCCGAAAAAAAACAATGTTATGAAGCATTTGCCCGAGCATTACATCTAAATTCGTTACCAAATTGAAAAACAAAATAGAAAACAGAAAATAAAAAAAAGTAAAAAAAGAATTGAAATTAGTGAGCGAACACGATTTGACACCACCATCTTTGGCGATTTTTCATTTTTTGTTGCCTTAGCAAAATGAATCCAAACTTGACAGGCATGTACCTCACATCATACAGAACTCATAAAAAAACAAATCAGAAAACAAAAATTATTTTTAGGTATTAAAATGTTTTTTTTAAAACAAATAAAAAAATAAAAAAAAATTGAACGCCGTTCAATTTTGAACGCGAACGCGCAATCCGCGTTCAAACGCACATTTGAACGCGAACGCGTGTTCACGGCGTTCAAACGGTTACACAGCAGAGATGGACGGAGCACGGGAGCCAAGTGATCCTCCTCAGTGCAAGAGGCATGGACGACGAGGCCAATGCCCTTGCAGCCCCCACGTAAGCAGAAACGGAGTCAGTGCATATCGCATTGACCCGCTGCGGCCCGCGGAAGCTGAACTCGTGGAAGATGGTAACCCATCTCCGAAGGACGTGCACTGCATCGTTCGGCTCGCCCTCTCGATTGATTGTCGTGTACACGACGACCTCTCGCGAGCCAGCGGCAAGGAAATTCACGATCGGTCTCCCGTCTCGTGATTTCCTCCCATCGGAGAGGAGGGTGGCACCAGTCACCCAGAATGGCTGCCTCACCTCCTCCAACTCCTCCGCCAGCTCCGCACGATGGGTCTCCACCGCCTGCATACTCGCAATCTCGAAGTGGTTGGGGAGCACAGCGCGCGGGGAACTGCTAGGCTGCTCAAGAAACACCTGTTGATATGCCTTCCAAGCTTGGTTGCGGAAGGCATTGAAGGAGACCCCGCTGGAATAGAGTCAGCGAAGGAATGCCTTCTTGTGACGAGCAACCCACTCGCCACCGTAGACATCAGTCACCTTCTGCTGGCGAAGTCTCTTTCCTACTGGGGTGGCAGCCGGATCACTTCCTCCTTCCTTCCTCTTGGAAGACCCCTCCGTTGCAGCTCCCTTACCTGCTCGCCTCCGCCAGTCCTCCAACCTCTCCCCAGTGCTTGGATAAAACTCTGGCACGTCCTCGTGTTCCAGGACTCCCTCCTCGCCCGGGCCACGCGCCTCGCGATTGACGTGGATCACGCCCTCCTCCGTCTCACCGCCTCCACCCCCCAAAGGCGGGTTTGGCGCACCATGCCCACCATCTCCCCCGACCCCTCCCTCCACCGGACGCCGCCCCGCCTCTCCTCCCCTTGCACCACCTGTGCCGGGCACATTGAGTCCGCGCTCCGCTACATACCTGGCAACCCTCTCCATCTGATCGCGCTCGAACTTCTGTTGAGTCCGTCGCGCGATCTCGAACAACGCCTCGTCGCTGACGTCCTTGCAGTAGTTTGTCTGCGTGAAGTGCCCCGTGACCTGAAATTGGGTCACTTGGAAAACTTTGTTGCAAAACGTGCAACGGAGCATCATGACCCCCTTGTTGTCGACCTTCTGGCCGACAACCAAGTATCGATACACAGGGGAGCGGGCCCTGAATGTGTCCTGCACATTGTCCGCGGAAGGCTCATGCTGACGGCGCTGCGCCCTCCCCATGTCGACCACCCTGGCGAGACAACCCTTGCTGACTCCCCCCGACCTCACCGCTGCAACCCAACCCCCATTAACCACTGCCCGCCGCAGGGTCCCCCTTCCCCCAACTCCCTCGCACCCCCCTNGTCCTTGCACGGCCGGGCCGCCCGGGAAAATAGGGTGACCCGGGCAGCCCGGCTGGTAGCCTAGTCTCCAACACAATTTTGAAATTTGGACCATTTTCCCGAGATTTTCGGCAGTCATCCTTGCGCAGGTGCCATGGTAATTACTAAACTACCCTTCTCTGTATCGTTTGGATTTTATGATAATTTTTATCTGATTCCAGGAGAATTCGATCGCCTGATCTGTCTCAAAACAGTGGCATGTGTGTGCACCATTCAGCCACGTGTCCCAGCGGTCCAGAGCATTCATTCTCCGTTATGGACGGTTGTTCCGTTTCAGATGGTTTCAGGAGAAATTTGATCCCCCCTGACCTACCGTCTTCACCCTTATACAACGCCCGGTCTGTC